ATTCTGGATTGGAACTGATCCGGACCGTATACAAATAGGCTATGTTCATATTATATACCCTCTCGCATAGTATCTTCTCTTATTCTATATAAAAACTAAATCCAAACTTAAACCCGCATAGTATCTTTTTTTATTGATTTTGTTTGTGGGTTTTTAGTTTTAATTTGTAATGATCTAAATACTTATGATGGAGCTAGTTTTCTTGTGGCGGTATAAATTCTAGAATAGTATGTCGCTATTATGAAAAGACATGTTACTATTGTTAAACTAATATGATGCTATGTTTATATTTTTATGAAATTAAAATATTCTACATTTTTTTTGGTTATTTAATTATGTGAATCTGTGATCCTAAACCGATCTAATTCGTGTTTAAATAGATTAGTTTAGATTGGTTCCACAATTTAAACAGATTGGATTGGTTCTAATTTTTCAGGAATCGTAGATAACGGATTGGTCCTGATTTTATCCCAATCAGGACCAATCCGGACCATGCTCATCCCTAATTTTAACATATAGGAAAAAGGCTTGGTAAATTTCAATAGATAGACAAATTTCGTGATTTCAAGAGATAGATAGATAGATAAGTTGATTTCAACATACAGTGTTCTTTTGGCCAAATTGTGTCCTTTTGGCCCAAAGAGATTAGAACTTGGGTCTAATAGTCCAAAAGATTTAAAAATAGACTTATGGTCTAACTAGCAACAAACATGTCTTCTTTTAACTATCCATACGTAGTCACTATCCAATGTTTGTGCCTCTCCCTAAATCCTAAAACTCTCTTGTTTTTTTTTTCTAGATTTTCCTATAAGGGGAGAAAGAGATCGTGGTGGTTCCTCCACCTCTCCGATGTCCTTCTCCTGTCATCTCTCTCTTTCTCCCTTCGGTCCTCCTCTAGATCTAGTACTTAATTTAAATCCGATGTTTGTTTCACTAATCCAGCCATCACCACCTTACCTTATCCACTCTCGAGTCCAAAATTTTAAGATCTGGTTTTAGATCTTTTTACAATCTGAAGGCCGACATTGGATAATGCGTTTGTTTCACGCTAAGCGACCATTTCAACCTCAATGTTCTATCTTGACCAACAGAGGTGGGGTCTTCCGATTCCAAGTTAAAGGCTGCAGAGCAGTGAGGTTTTGAATGAGTTCAGTGGCGACTTGAATTTGATTTTTTTATATTTGCTATTTTAATTTGTTAATGTAATAATCCTTCATGTGTGGAGGTTTGTTTCCCTCCCTCGTGAGAGTCTTTTCTCCTCTGTGGAGACTTGGATCCTTCCTTCTATGGAGATTGTTCATCTCTTTTTGAGAGATCTTATGATACCGCTATACTAACTTGATCTAATCTTTTGTTGGTTTTGCAATAAAGATTTATTGCCTAATTAATAAAAAAAAGAAAAACTATTCATGCATTTCTATTTGAAAGGTCAAAGGGTCTAGTGTAGGGATCAATAATCCCTTCCATATTATGACCTTTTTTTATTTTATTTTATTTTATTTTTTGGGTATCTTTAATTTCTTGTTGAGCTAATTGTTTCTTTTCCATTATAAGAAACAGAGTGTTGGATTGCTATAATTGTTCCATTTTGATTGTCAAGATATAATTTTATTTATATTGTAAATAATTTTTTATTGAGAAAAAAGTCTTCTTTTTTAATATCCTTTTCACAACTCGCTTGGGAATTGTTTTCTGAGTAATTTTAAATTTTTTTATGAAAAGAGGTATAAAAAAAAAATAGAAAAACTAATTTGATAATGTGTAGTATTTTTTGATTTTTAAACTAAAATTTTAGTTTCCAAACATTTTTAGAGTTGTTTTGAGAATTGTGTTTTTAAGTGTTTTTTTAAATTTTTTTAAAAAAATATGTATAAAAAAAAATAATATTTTTTTTATAATGACTTTGAATTTTTTATTTAAAATTTTGACTTTTCAAAATAGTGTTAGTTGTGTTGGCATTGAAAAAGTTTGAAATGTCAACACTTGCAACTCTACAATATTTCACTTGTATCTCATCACAAAATTAGTTACACCTATATGTTTTTGGAATTTTTTTTTCTCTGTCCTAATGTATTGTAGTTTTCCCAAATTGTTACCACCATTGATGTTCTCGAAGCAATGGATTTCTCCCATGTATGAACGGGTGCAATTTTTTGGAAATTAATAATTAATAATTAAAAAATAAAAGTTAAAAATATTTATTATTTTATTTCATTTTATTTAAATTATTTTGAATGAATACATTCTTATTAAAAATTGTATCAAATAGTATTAAAAAAAAAAGGCTAAATAATTTAGAGAAACTGTATCAAACAACCCTTATCGTTTAATTATTTTCAAAAGAATGTCGTAAAAATAAAAATAAAAAAATTGTATAAGGGCCTGTTCGGAAACTTGGCTATTTTAGTCGGTTTTTTAGCTTTTTGGCTATGAAAAATATTTAAGACACCTAATTTGAGCTCTTTTGGGAACACACCAAAAAAACCAAACTTTTTGCTTTTCTTAGCTTTTTTTAGCAAAAAAAGCCAACTTTTTTACCAAAAACAACCTAGTTTTTTGCCAAAAAAGTCAAAAAAATCAGTTTTTTTATCAATTTCCCAAAACACCACTTTATCTTCCCTAAAAACTACCCTAATGATGTGTCTGACAAGCTTCAAATTTTGATTTGTCAAGCATTTCATCATGTAGAGTCTAACCTCAATGCCACATCATTATGGGTCATTTAAGAGTAATAAATTAAAAAGATGTAGCATTGTTGTTTAGCTATTTTATGAGATGGAAAAAAAAATTGTGTTTGGAATGATTTGGCTACTTTAGTTGTAGTTGAATAAATGCTTGTGAGGGAAAAAAATGAGTGATTGATTGATGGATAAGATATGACATTTTGTCTTATTTATTATTTTAAATTTTTTTTTAAATCTTGATTGGCTATTTTAGCAACAAAAAATAAAATAAAATAAAATAAAATAAAATAAGAAAGACAACATCCCAAACAGGCCAATTTTGAATTAAGAATCATGTGGCATTCTTTAGATCTTACCACTTTGAAAACAGAAGTCCTGTAATGCAACTTATATTTTTAAGATTACTGTTGATACATCATTTTGGTATGAGATTTTGTATAAATTTTTTATTTGTAAATCACATTTTTTGTCAAAATGATAAATTAATAGGATATTTGTAATTACGATTATGATTAAAAAAAAAAAAAAGTGCTATTGTTGGTGCTAGCCTTTTCTTCTCTAACTCATGTGCTTATTCTTCTATAATAACACAACAAAAAACAAAAAACAAAACAAAACAAAACAAAAGAAAAAAAAAAAAAGGCTACTACTTGTATAAAAAAAAAAAAAAAAAAAAAAAAAAAAAAAAAAAAAAAACAAAAAACAAAACAAAACAAAACAAAACAAAAAAAAATAGAAAATAAAATGTCAAATATATTCACAAAAACATATGGGGAAATATCAAATAAGTGAAACAGTGAGAAAAATTCATGAAATTTTTGAAAACAAGTCGGTCTTGTGTTTGATGCAAGTCTATACAAGGACTTGCACAAAAAATATTCTCTATAAATTTGATATTTTTATCACTGTCTCGCTGAGTTGACTCTATAAATTTGATATTTTTATCACTGTCTCGCTGAGTTGATATTTACACAAAACATATTGGGTTAGGTCATCAATGACTTAAAAGGTTGGCAACGATTGATTTAATATTGCAAACATGATCTTCACAAAGCATAATAATAGCATTCGAGGTCCTATCATATCATTTATTGAGGCAATTAAACTCATTAAATTAAGTTGCTACCTCCAAACGCTTGACCAAGATGCTTTGATGTAACAATGAAATTCTAAACAATATGTGGAAGAACTTGCAAGGAGTGCTGGATTTGAAATTTTACAATATATATTTTTTTTTTGGTTACATCGGAAGGGAGGAGACGCTACAATATTACTAAATAATTTGTGTGAAGCAAAATGTTCGTTGAATAAGTCAGAGAATATAGAAACGTTACTGAACTAAACACAATTTAGACAGTATATATTTATCTATAATTTGGCCAAGTTTGGCTACTGTCAAAAAAGTGCACTTATTTCATCTTTTTATCTTTTTTGGGTCACATCAATAAACATCTCCTCTCTATTTTTTCTACACATAATACAAAAAAAGTCAAAAAGTACACTTATTTAGTCTTCCCAAACTAGGCTTTGTGTCTGTTTCTGATAGATTTCTGTACACGTAACAGAGCTGAATTTTTGTAAATGTCAAAAGGTTATATAGTAAGCTAGCTTTACCTATTTTGAATTCAACAAAGTAAAATTGGGTTGCTTTGAGGGAACCCAAGTCCTCCGGTTTTACACACACAGGTGTAGATACGAAAGTCCTCCGGTTTTACACACACAGGTGTAGATACGAAAGCAGATGCCTTTCTTTATTCTTCTTTGTTCGTTCCACTTCTTAAATAAAACTCGTACAATGGTAATTGCCATAAAAATAGGAAGACTCCAACTAAATCAAAAACTTATTCAACACTCCTAATTCTACTCAACTGCTTCAGATTTTCAGAAATCAAACTACTCCATGATATGAAACAAGTCCTGCACGGTAACAGGTTATCACATGACAAGCTTGTACGCCAATGTATATGTACAGTCTTCTTGTGGCCATTAGCATTTTCTTAGTGCTTGTTTGGTTCCCCTCTTGGGGCTAAAAAATTACAAAAAGACAAAAAAAAGTCAAAAAATCACAAAAAGACAAAATAAAATTTACCATTCCAAAGCCAATAAGTCAAAAAAGCCAAACAAGAAAACTACACAAACAAAAAACTCTCAGGCTAAAAATGTCAAAAAAGTCAAAAACCCAACTAAAAAAGCCATTGCCAAACAATCCCTTAATATCTATGGGCTAGCTGTTTCAGACATAAAATACTAAATCTAGAAAAAAAAAATTGGGCATGTAATGCTTTTAACAAAAAATTATGTACCCAAAACTCATAGTTTAGATTTAGACTTGGTGTCGTATGAGTTATATTCTAAATGAATATGATCTATCCATTTTAAAGTATGGACACTTTTCTTAATACATAACATTGTTGTTCTTCTAAAAGGTTTTCCTCATGAATTGGAGTTGAATTAATTATTTAATGATGCCACTGCCAGTTCTTATTCTGATATTAGGTTTACTGAAAGTAAAACATATCATCCCTTACAATTATTCTTGGAACAATATTTTCACATATTATCAACTAAAACAACAAAAAGAAAATTAAAAAAAGAGACTTATCTAGATCGGCCTATCTTCATGTTTCATGAAGATGAATAGCTGAAAGAAGTGCTAGTGGGAATTGGGACATCAACATATCCCTCTAACATTTGTGTTACCATCTTCATTGTAGGCCTTTTTGAAGGATCCTCTTGTATACACCAGAATGCTGTCAAGATCCACCGGCCCAGGGTCACCTTATCTTCGATGGCAGCCTGATCATTGTCCACCAAAATGTCAAGTCTCCCATTCATATAGCAGTCATAAGCCCAATCTGTGAGTATTGCTTTTTCTTCTTCCCCAAACTCTGCCATCTTTCTACAACAAATGATCTCTAGCAACATGACACCGAAACTGTAGACATCCACTTTAACCGTCACAGGTACGTTCTTGAACCATTCTGGAGCCACGTATCCTCGAGTTCCCCTTATCCCAGTATGAGTTCGAGTTTGGTTGAGCAATAATGATTTTGCCAATCCAAAGTCAGAAATTCGTGCTGTGAAATTTTGGTCAATTAGTATGTTTTCAGGCTTTATATCGCAGTGGATGATTGGGGCATTACAGTCTTCATGCAAGTAAACTAGTCCTCTTGCAATCCCTAGAGCCATCTGAGTCCTTTGATACCAATCAGGTCTTGGAAGGCCGAAGAGGAAATTTGCTAAACTTCCATTGCTCATGAACTCGTACACTAGAAGCCTGTGAGGCCCCTCTTGACAATATCCGAGCAGTTGGACCAGATTCTTGTGATGGGTTTTCCCAATTGCACTCACTTCGGCTTTGAATTCCCTCTCTCCTTCTTGTGTTGACTTGTCCAACTTCTTGACCGCAACTTGTTTCTTTGAACCAAATTTCAATACACCTTTGTAAACAATCCCGAAAGAACCGCTCCCTAATTCATCTTTGAACCCTTCTGTCGCTTCCTTGAGCTCTTCGAAAGTGAAAAGATGCAAATTTGTTTCGGGAACACTTGAATCATGTTCGGCCTTTCTTGATCTTTTCCATCGAATTGAGAAAAACATAAGGGGTATTACGACTAGTAATAGAACGTTGACAGACCCGGAGCTCCACAAGAGAATTTGCTTGTCTTTCTTTGAGTTGGAAATTGGAAAACTAGAACTTCCCGAAGGCGGAACACTGCCTTTCCTTACTTTGATAATAGCTAGTCCAGCTTCCATTCTCCCATTAAATAGCGGTAGTTTCTTTTTCCAACATATTGTACCGCCAAATATGGCAACATCACACAAACAATCGTTCAAACAAGCCTGTTCACACTGAGTTTGATTATAAGGTCCCAAACTCTCATAATCTCCAAATGGCCAATTCACGCCTTGAATCTCGACCAAGTCATACACGTCTTCTGGTTTTTTCGTTCCGTCGTCTACTCCGCAACCTTGAGGGAAATTTGGTTTGCAGCCTCCAAAATTGTTGTTTGGATCCATGAATGAATACCCGAATGGGCATTGACAACTAGGAGTGCCACCGTTTGCTCTGCAGTAGCTATTGAACCCACAGGCACCGCTGCCTACTTGCGGGTTTGTCAGTGCCATACATATATCGTCAGGGATGTGTCGAACAATTGACCAGCTCTGGCCACTGACAGAAGTCTTCGCATAAGTATATTCCCTGAAAACGCCATCAAAATCCAACGTTGCGCGATAGTAGTTGTTTGGGTTTTGAGCGATGTTCTGCCATGAGAGTCGGACAACCCCTCCATTCCCTTTCACGACGTAAATATCGGCTGATTGACTGAAAACCAGTTGAAACCCAGATTCAGAAGAGTTGGAATTATCAGTTCGACTACTGTAATAAGGCGCATAAGGCAATTCGCTTGGCCAAGCGACAGGATTGAGCTCAAGATCTCCTCCATCAGTGAAATGGAGCTCAAACCTTCCTTTTGAGTAGTTGGTTTCAGAAAACTTAGAATACAACATGCCACCTAGTGGCAAAATTTGGGTTGGCAAGATGGTGTCTGTAGGATAACTAAAACTTTCCCACACAAAATTAGATTTAGTATCTGAAAGCACAAAGTTACCCGCGTCGAGCATCGTACCATATGATACGGTGCCGTTAGGTTGTGACGTCCATATTGTTTGGCCATTGGGATCATTTAGTGTGAGGCCACTGGCGGTAAGCTCAACATTTGAGCCTGCTTGCACTGGATTAGTTGTGTTTGCGTGCCAGACGATGGTTTTGTCGGGTATGTTGGCATACCATATTGCAAGCAAGAAGGTGTTTGTGTTGTTGAGTTGGTAGAATCCGAAAGCAAAATCCACAGAAGGTGAAATCCATGGAGAGTTGTTACCATTGGCGGACAGTGATGAGCCCAGAGTTACGTTGGAAGCAGAAAAAATAGGTAGAAAAGGCAAAAGAGACAGGAGGAGGAGGAAGAGGTTAGGGATAGGAGAAGAAGCCATTGAAGATGGTGCACTGACTGCAAGCAAGTTGTGTTACAACATGAGGTTTATTTTGTAGTGTTTTTACTCAATTTGGCTAAATATTATAGGAGTAGTATTTATTAGTCAATCCCGTGGCAAAGACTTGAAGATTTCAAAGATAGGAATTGCTTTTATTTCGAAATATTAATTAACCACATTATTTTGTATAGGCCACCTTTTTCTTTATTGGTGTGATTGTTCTTTATCAATGAAGACGCGCTTTTAGACCTCTTTTTTTTTTTTTTTTTTTTTAATAACGCGCTTTTGGACTTTGGGAGCAATAGGATGCAAGTTCTTTCAATATTTTTTAGTTACTGTTTTACCCTTTTGGTCATTGTATGTTTTTTTATTTCAATTTTAAAATGTTATAACTTCAGTTCTTAACATCGGTTTTTCATAAAATTTATATTTTCAAATTTTTCTTGCTGAGATTTTTCAAATAAGAACTACATTGACACCTCGTTTGGGAACCCTCTCTTTTAGTTAAAAAGTTACTAAATTAACCAAAAAATCAACAACTCATACCAAAAAGTCAAAGATTCTCTTTTCTCTTTACTTTTTGCACATTTTTTCATAAAAAGTCAAAAAGTTATCCCAAACATACTAGTTTTTTTTAGCTCATATTTTAGCCAAATAGCTAAAAAGTTACTAAATTAGTCTGTTCCCAAACGAGGCCTGAATACAAAATTCCAAAAGATAAAAAATAAAAAAATAAAAACTGAAAATCTTGCGTAACTGTTTAACCTAATTGTTTGGGATGACTCTTTTAAATCCTAATTTTAATTCCATTGATCAATATAATTTCACACAATTTAATACTTTCATACTGTTAAACTTTACTTCGGGGATTAAATAAGCATTTTCTAATGTGAAAATGATGATTTTATCTATACTATCTATATGTATCTATACTATTATTAAAGGTGAACACCTTACTTAGTGTTCATGAACTTCCTTCTTTCCTTTTGCCAACTGACCTTTTCTTTTTGCGTCTAGTGTCAATTTCTTGAAAAAAAATTAAAAATAAAAATTAAAAGAAAGATACAAGACTTGAACCTAATGGGGGTGTTTGTTTCAGCTTTTCAGAGCCAACTTATGACTTTTAGCTTTGAAAAAGTTATTTTGGACTGTTTGGTTAAACTTATTTCAAACAGCTTCTGATTCTAACAGCTTATTTTAACTCAAAAAAGCTGATTTTGAGAAGCTACTCACTCCTTACTTCTGATTATCAGCTTCTGCTGTGGACATGTTAATTTATGGTTATACTCTTAAATTTTTTTATTTTTTATTTTTTTAAAAATAGAAAAAAACTCAAATGAACTATAGATTATTATTATTATTTTTTATGAGAAATGTAGACAAACAAAAAATAAAAATTAATTGAAAAA